CCGCTCCGGCCCCACCGGCATCTCCCCACCACGCGGCTCGCCTGCTCGCCACCATTCCAATCTACGCATCGTAATGGCGGGATGAAAGGGAGTTGATAAACTGAGGTGCACATCAGATCTGCTGTAATGAAATCTTATCAATGTGTTCCCCTCACTGTGTTGATTTGCATATAAATGACCTAATATAATAAGTCTCTCGGGCGTCTACCTGGGAGGAGTAAATATCTCTCTGCTTTGTCTCATCGCCGTGACGCGAGGAAACAAGACGCTAATTGAAGAGAGGAAAGCATCTTTATGCGATGACTGACATTCAATTATGCTCGGGGAGATCAGATTAGGTGGTGCCCCTCCAGAAATGTTTGAAAACACGTTTTGCAGAGGCGGCGACTCTGAAGGCAGCCGAGGATGTAATTTGAATGGCTTGCGAGAGGCCCGAGCTGAATGGCGCTGCTCTGAATGGAATCACTGTGCTACGACCTGCGAGTAATTGGATGTCCAAAGTGAGGTGTTGACGGAGGAGAAGGGGAGGCGAGGCTGATAGAAACAAAGAGAGTGACGGACGCTGAAACGAGGAGACACAGAGGGAAAATAAATGTCAGAAAATCAGTGAGGAGACAATGCGTCTACAGGTCCCAATGACAAGTTTTTAAAAAAACAATAAAGGCGGGAAGAATCACGACAATGAGAGTAGAGAAAGTGATTTCCACCACGTGGAAACTGTCAAAGCTTCAGTTGTCATTCACACAAACACAGCACAGACCACAGGCGCGTGCAGCCGAGCCAAATAAGCCATTATACAGGATAAGCTCCCTTATCAGCCAAACGCCGTCAGGCAGCACACTGCCAAGGTCACAGCAAACAAACAGCGGGTCACTTTGCTTACATCCACCACGACGTAGTATAATGCCGATCAGAGATAATTGTGTACATCTGTTCATCTACATGTCAATCTGGATTTTCTTCCGTTGAACGGGACAGGGCAGGTGATGTTGAGTAAACACATTTACACTCCAGGCGAATAGAAGCCAGGTCCCGGATATAATGCTGACGGACAACGCGTGCAACCTCAGCAAAGAATGGAGCACGTTCCGGTTGTCGTTTACGCACACGGTGCAAACTCCATGCAGAAGTTCTCAGATTTTCAGGTAAAATATATATTTTTTCTTTTTACAAAGACCGTTAAGAGCCACTGTTCAATTTCAAAGTCACCTTCAGGTAAAAAGTCAAAGAAAGAATAAAAAGTACAAAATCCCTATTGTTATTGTATTGGTTGTTAAAATGTGCTTTCAGTCTGACAGGGAAAACAATGCCTTTAACAAGCTCTCACAATGTATCTCCACGGATGGAGGGGGGAAATAACAAAGCTGAACTGAGCAGGAAAACACATATGTGAGTTCACCTGTTTGGATATAAATATCCCAAATGCACAAACCACACATAAACGCACACACACTGTATCTCCATGTAATTCACCTTTGTAGAACATGGAAAGGTGGTGGAGGGGTCGGGCCGACTCCATCGATTGGCTATCCTTAGCAGTGACAGCTCCCAGATTGGCCAAAGAGCATTAGAGAGTCAGAAAGTCACACTGCCATTAACAGGGTGTCCTCTCTGGTTACAGTCTGTCTGCACACAGACACACACAGACACTCCGTAGACTGAAATAGATCACAAAGATTGGTGTGTGTGTGTGTGTTTGGCGTCGGCAGATGGCTGTGCTCATGACTAGGGAATGTGATCGCTCTATTACTGCAGTAGCTTTAAATATATTCTGCATGAAGTTCAAGCAAAAAAACATCAGCTTTCTATGAATTTTCTTTTTAGTGTGCGCTATAAGCTCTCAAACCTAATCCTCGTCTCAACGTCAAGGCATGCTTTCCACATCTATGAGCTGAGTTTTAAGAATCAGACACAGAAGAATCTGACTATTGATGCTTTTACCAGAATGAGTTTGGTGCAAATTCATGTCTATGGCCCCAACCAGCCTAAAACCCACGGCGCTGTCTGTGGTGCTGAAGTAGCGGACAGGTTTTGTAATGGGGATTATTTCTCTGAAGTCATGCAATCCACTCTAGGGGGAGTGGAAGAAATGTACCAACTGCCTACTTTGGATGCTTCTATGATGGAAGAGGCTGAATTAACACATCAACAATGATAACATGACCTCTCACAGACGGTCAAGCTGCCATATGCTGATGAGAGATTTCTACCCTTTGTCACAATACCAAACAGATGTATGTCAGCATATTGGCTTTTCTTATCCAACTCTACATTTGAACAAAGTCCCTTTTCCTCTGTGTGTCGTTATCAGAGCTCCTCCTTTGTTTACATAGTCAGGCCACCACATCAATGCATGTGGGTGTGCCCCAATGGTTCAGACAACATTGCAACGCCCGACCGACAGCTTTGTTGCAGCAGCAGCGTCCACTCCCCCCTCAGTTAGACACCGTCAGGGCCGTTTAACGGGGTTAACTGTCGCAGGCCGTTGACACGTGTTTAGTGGCAGTGGCAATGCTCCCCGATCTCTGATCTGGCATCTTCTGATCGCAGGTGGTGTAGTTTCAGGCGTGGGTTTTCGGGTGGTATCTACGCTGCACAGCCTCAACTCACTTTCCCATGTTCCAAGACAACAGGTGGAGATGAAGCTTTTTGTCAAGTCGATGGATTTCTTCTAACAGCGTTGATTAGTGGACATCTTTTACATGTTTTCAGAGGAAGACAGGAATTTTGTCTTGTCAGGCTTACAAAAATGGCCTCATCCTCCAAGCAATATTGGCTGTCAACAATTACAGCCTCCAATTGTTCCAACAGCGTTGTGTGTCAGAATAATATCAGACACTGAGGGGAAACCTGCCCAAATTGAAATGAGCGGAAAAACTCTCGGAGTACATATCAAGAGCAGATTTTACACCAAAGAGAAAACACCAGAGTGGAAATCAAACAGATTTCCAGGGAACAAAATTGATTTTACAATTTCCACAGGGTAGATTCTGCTTCCCCAGAAGCAGGAGAGATGTCTATCCAAATACACCCAAATGTCTGCCCAAATTATGGGACAAAGCGACAAAGTTGCTGTGCGATTTCTCACTTTCTTTTTCTGCCACTTTGCTTTGTGTGTAAAACTCTCTCCCTGTCTCTCTGTCAAATATATTCTGCACCCTCATGCTGGATGAAAATGTATATATATATATATACACTGCACGACAGATGGAATCGATATGTGACAGAGCCATATTTATGGGAATGTGCTGAAGTGGCTGTGCTGAAATCCGTCCGGACCCGGGCGAGTATAGTTTAGAACCTTTGCCTTCTGCACTTCTTTCTGGCTCTGAAGACTGGAGGAGTATTACTTCTTCCCCCACTTCTATTTTAAAGAGATGCTGCACTGCGGCTGGACTACTGCTTAAATCCCATAGGACATTTTTGAAAAATCCAGCACACCAATAAATAATGGTGGGTTAGAGGGGGGTATAGATACTTGAAGATAGAACATAAAGACAACACGGAGCTCCGCGCTCATACAGCTGCTTGGGTGGCATGGACTATCAATACTTGTGTCTGTGTTTCAGGTAATGTAGAACACAAATGAAATGGCATTGCAAAAGAAATGCAAGGAGGAGACACTAATGTCAGAGAGGTCTTTGTTACAGCAGTGATAAGAGAAGATGAAATCTTCAGACTTTACAATTTTTACTAAGTCAACACAACAGATATTTCATTTATATAATTTCATGTTTGACACCTCTGATTTTTAGACTTGTATATAGACCACGCTTTCGCAGGTGACATCACTTTAGGCAAGTTTTCCTACTCCATGCAGCCCCCTCTTGAGCCAAAACAGGCCTCATACAACTTTTAGTAAACATCTAAAATTGATGTAGAACAAGTACAGTCTGCTCCCAGGCAGTTCTCATCAAACGCCAGAAACCCAGCCTCCCAAAGGTTAAAGAGGTAATAACAAAAGAAATCTCCATATCGCTGTGTCAAAAAACAGATGAAAATCAGAGAGGAACAAATGCAATCAGCTCCTTCCAGACAGATCCCAAAAATAATCAACTCAAAATAGTGTCATCTGAAAAAAATCGGGGGAAAAAATCAGTGTGGCCGCTTAAATCAGCTGTGTGAGTGAAAAAAAATCTAAACTTGACTTCAGTGTGAATCAATAAGTCTCTTGTCGTGTGGACTTTGGCAGGACTTGAAATAAAGGGATCAGAGATGAGATGGAGGAATACTTAGTGTTAGTGTTTTTTTTTCTTCTCTCCCTGGAGGTCCTTCTCTGAAAAATCCTTGAGTATGACATCTTTCAAAGAGCTCACTATCACAGCGTAGCAGAATTCATCCCTTGAAACATTCAATCTGTCAATTGCATCGGAAAAAAGCGGCCCCGGCAGCGCTCACTGCATTGATTACACTACATCTCATTTCACGTACTTTTAATCAATTACACCTCCATCAAACGGTCTACTGTAGCTCGGGGAGCGGCTCGTCAGGGCGGTAAGTCGCCGTGGTACCAGCAGTTCCGGATGGGAGGTTTTTCAGCCGGTGCTTGTTGGACACCGCCAGAGGAGTGTGTCCCGCCTCAATTAAACTATGCGCTAAGTGTCTGACAACAGCTAATATTCCTCTTCCACCGGCGAACCCAATCGATGTCCCGGCTTTCGCCGCGCTGCTGAAAAAGCAATCATCCCGTTGTCTCGCTCCGTTTAGACGGGGGAAATGGAGAGACTCTCATCTGGCCTCTGCGCCCGCTCGCTGGAATGCATCAGCGCTTAATCTCACACGTGTGGGTGGCGTGTGCCACACAAACACACGCATGCTGTAAATACACACACACACACACACACACACACACACACACACACACACACACACACACACACACACACACACACACACACTTTTCTTCACTCTGATCACTGTTTTTTAAAAAGAGTAGATGTACCACAGAAAAGCTCGTGGGAATTACCACCCATTTGCAGACGTTTGTCGGGTCGACCCACCTCTCTGTCAAGCAGCTTGTTGGAGATGACGGTGACAATGTCGCCTCTTTCGGCGTCAATGTAGAACATGCTGGGGGACGGCTTGTCCGGAGACTGCCGGACGATGTTGTAGCGCAGCGCGGCGTTGTCCGTTCCGGCGTCGTCCGCGTCCAGCGCCGTCATGGCCATCACCGTGGTACCTGGAGCAGACACAGGCGGGGGGGGGGGGGGGGGAGTGGTGAGCGTCTGGACTCAAACACTGCGTTGTGTACGGGAGGCAGAAAAACGCTGGAGCCAGTTTAGTATGTTAGAAGATACAGCAGGAGATGCTTTTGGGGATTCTGAAGGTTTTTTTTAAGGTGTTACCAAAACACTTGCTTGTTTTAAAATTAAATGAAACAAGTTGACATATTTCTAAAGCAGGGGTGCCCAACCTTTTTTGAACCAAGATCTACTTTTAAAGTTGATAGTGTATCGAGATCTACCAAGCCTTATCGAAAGCCATAGCGTAGCCACAATTTATTGCGCACATATATAGGACAGTTTTCTGACACATAGATACAGTTTTAACAATCATAATACATTTATTGAAGTAAATGTGAATTTGCAAAGAATAAGCACAAGTAGGCCTAGAAGAGGCCCGTAACAACAAAACAGACAAACAACCCAAATAATACAATGCCTAATTCTTTGAACTTTTATAAGAACTAATTCAAGTTGGAAAAGTGGCATTTCTCTACCTTTTCTGGCACTGAGAGGAGGAAGCTAGTCTCTCATAGTCCGGACAGTAAGAGCTGAGTGCCAGCCGTGAGCAGACTGCAAGGTGGTCATCAGTCATGGTGGATCTGTATTTTGACTTGATGATTTTCATATGTAAAAAGGCAGACTCACACAAATATGTTGATCCAAAAAGTGCAGTCAAATTCTCTGCAGTTTGTCTGAGGTTGGGGTACTTCTCTTTCTGCATTAGATTACTGAATTGGACATTCATGTCAGGTGTTGCTCTGGATTTGAGCTCAATGTCATTCTTCAGTGTGAGGATCTCATTCTCAACAGCACAGCTATCCAGGTTGAAGAGTAATGCCACTTTGGACGTTATACAATCCATATCTACATTTTCCCCAAATGGAAAACAGAGATAGCTGACAACAGGCTCAATGGATGGAAAGTCAGTGAAGCGCCTGTCAAATTCTGACAAGATGCTCTGCACTTGCTCATCATAACGTGCACCCTCAAGCTCCGCCCAGTCTTTGCCCACAGCCTGGGCTGCCAACTCTCACGCATTGGCCGTGAGACCCACGCATTTGATCGGTTTCACACGCTCTCACGCCACACCTCCGATTTCTCACGCCCCAAAAATTGTGAGACTACCATTGAAAAAGAGGGGCGCCAGAACACAACAGTAGTGTAAGGTTCCCTTTCCTGTCCATGGACACGTTTACAACGCGCTCGGTATCGCGCTGCGCGGATATGTCCGCGCGCTCCCATCAGCCGAGCAGAAAGCGCGTCGCCGGTGTTCGTCTGCACCCCCCCGGCCGGTCTCACGCCAAGGTTTTTGGAAAAGTCGGCAGCTCTGTTTCCCTGTTTCTAAATAAATCTTTTAAAATCAAATTGATGTCTCGGGTTCCATTATCGAGAGTTGCTACAGTAGCGCGTTAGGCTGCGCTGGTAGGCGCATTGCATTATGGGACAATATTTGGATCCATTTAAATCCCTATCTGTTATCAAGATCAGGAATCAGGAAACATTTATTGCCAAAATATGTCAAACATACAAGGAATTTGTCTTGGCGGTTGGTGCATGACAGACAGTGTAACAATAGACAACAAGACAGCAGTAATACAAGTAGTAATACAAAAGTAATACAATAAAGTAAAATGAAATGCTAATGCAATGGGTTAGTAAAAAAAAGAGAATAAGGCTATGGGTTAGTATATAACAAGGGAATGAAGTTAAAGTTAAAAATTTAAAATATTAAAAAAGTTTAATTATTAAGCATAAAGTGCACTAGCGAACAAGTAACAAAATGACGAGTGACGACAAAGTGATAATTTACAGTTAAAGTGACATGTGCAGTGTGAAGGGGAGTGACCGGTGGAATGTTATAGTCAGACAGTGGGGGACCGGGCTCTGTTGATGAGCCCGACTGCCGACGGGAAGAAACTGTTCGTGTGGCAGGAGGTCTTAGTCCTGATGGACCTCAGCCTCCTGCCAGATGGAAGAGGCACAAACAGTTTTTGTCCCGGGTGAGTGGGGTCGGCCACGATCTTTTTAGCTCGCTTCAGAGACCTGGAAGCGAACAAGTCCTGCAGGGACGGCAGATTGCAGCCGATCACCCTCTCCGCAGAGCGGATGACACGCTGCAGCCTGCCCTTGTCCTCGGCTGTGGCTGCAGCGTACCAGAAGGTGATGGAAGAGCAGAGGATGGACCTGATGATGGCCGTGTAGAAGTGGATCATCATCGTCTTTGGCAGGTTGAATTTCTTCAGCTGCCTCAGGAAGAACAACCTCTGCTGAACCTTCTTTGTGATGGAGCTGATGTTCAGCTCCCACTTGAGGTCCTGGGTGATGATGGAGCCCAGGAAACGGAAGGAATCCACAATAGTGACGGGGAAGTCACACAGGGTGATGGGGGAGGGTGGGACTCTGTTCCGCCGGAAATCCACAACCATCTCCACTGTCTTTAGAGCGTTGAGCTCCAGGTTGTTCTGACTGCACCAGGACACCAGATGGTCAGACTCCCACCTGTAGGCGGACTCATCCCCACGAGAGATCAGTCCAATGAGGGTGGTGTCATCCGCAAACTTCAGGAGCTTGACGGACTGGTGACTGGAGGTGCAGCTGTTGGTGTACAGAGAGAAGAGCAGAGGGGAAAGAACGCAGCCTTGGGGGGAACCGGTGCTGATGGTCCGAGAGGCTGAGACATGTTTCCCCAGCTTCACGTGCTGCTTCCTGTCAGACAGGAAGTCTGTGATCCACTTGCAGGTGGAGTCGGGCACGTGCAGCTGGAAGAGTTTGTCCTGCAGCAGAGACGGGAAGTCCACAAACAGGATCCTGGCGTAGGTTCCTGGGGAGTCCAGATGCTGGAGGATGTAGTGGAGGGCCATGTTGACAGCATCGTCCACAGACCTGTTGGCTCTTTAGGCGAACTGAAGGGGGTCCAGGAGGGGGTCGGTGAGGTACTTCAGGTGGGTCAGGACTAGCCGTTCAAAAGACTTCATGACTACAGAGGTCAGGGCGACGGGCCTGTAGTCATTGAGTCCTGTGATCCTGGGCTTCTTGGGGACAGGGATGATGGTGGAGGCCTTGAAGCAGGCTGGTACGTGGCATGTCTCCAGGGAGGTGTTGAAGATGTCAGTGAACACCGGAGACAGCTGGTCAGCACAATACTTCAGGGTGTGAGGGGAGACGGAGTCAGGACCGGCTGCCTTAAGGGAATTTTGTCTTTTAAAGAGCCGGGTAACGTCTCTCTCCAGAATAGAGAGGGTCGTTGCTGGTGGGGGAGGGGAAGGTGATATAGATGAAGAGGCGTGAGCACCTGATGGGCTGGGGGAGGGAGGGGTGGGGGACTGCAGCAGGTTGGTGAAGGTGTGGGGGATGGGATCAGGACATTGTCTTTCGAATCTGCAGTAGAACTCATTCAGCTCGTCTGCCAGGCGGAGGTCATTCATGGAGTGGGGGGGGTTTTGGCTTGTAGTTAGTGAGGTGTTTGAGGCCTCTCCAAACCGAAGCAGAGTCACTTGCTGAGAACTGTTGTTGGAGTTTCTCAGAGTACAGTGGTTTAGCATCTCGCACCGCCTTGCTAAACTTGTATTTTGACTCTGTGTACAAGTCTTTGTCCCCGCTCCTAAATGCCTGATCCTTCTGCAGGCGTAGTGTTCTGAGTTCCGCTGTGAACCAGTTTGTCGTTGTTGTAACTCACCCTGGTGCATGATGGTACACAGCTGTCCTCACAGAAGCCGATGTAGGAAGTTACAGCCTCTGTGAACTCATCCAGACTGTTAGTATCAGTCCTGAAAACATCCCAGTCTGTGCAGTCAAAGCATGCCCGAAGATCCTCCAGCGCCTCACTGGTCCACTTCTTGAATTCCCTCACCACAGGTTTGCAGAGCTTTAGTTTCTGCCTGTATGCAGGAATCAGATGGACTATGACGTGGTCAGAGTGTCCCAGTGCAGCACGAGGGCCGGCGTGATAAGCCCTGCTTACTGTGGTGTAACAGTGATCCAGCGTGTTCTCCTCTCTGGTGGGGCATTTAATAAACTGTCTGTATTTAGAAAGTTCATGGATGAGATTACCTTTGTTAAAGTCCCAGAGGACAATAACTAAAGAGTCCGGGTTGGTCCGCTCCACACGCCGTATCTGGTCGGCGAGTGTCCGCTGTGCCTCGTGCACGTTGCCCGCCGGCGGCATGTAAACACCGACCAGGATGAATGAAGCAAACTCACGGGGGGAATAAAAGGGTTTGCAGTTGATGAAGAAAGTTTCCAGATCAGGAGAACAGTGTTTTAGGATCACCGTTACGTCGTTGCACCAGCTGTTGTTGAAGTAGAAGCAGATTCCTCCACCCTTTGTCTTGCCGGAGAGCTCCGTGTCGCGGTTCGCTCGGAGCAGCTGGAAGCCCGCCAGCTGGAGCGCGGAGTCCGATATCGATCCGCAGAGCCATGTCTCCATGAAGCACAAGACGGAGGATGTAGAGAAGTCTCTGTCTCTCCTCACCAGCAGCTGAATTTCGTCCAGTTTGTTGCACAGTGAGCGCACGTTGGAGAGAAAGATGCCTGGCAGCGGAGTGCGAGAACCACGCTTGCGGAGTCTCACCAGCGAGCCGGCCCGTTTTCCTCTCCTACGGCGTCTCACCGCGTGACGAAAGCTAAGCGCACCTTTGACTATAATGTCCAGTAATTCCACGGAAGAAAGCAGCAAATTGGAAGTAACTCCGCTGGAGTTGTTCCAAGGATGTTCAAGAGCTCATCTCTGGTGAAAGAGCTCCGGGAATCGCAGCAGGAAACATAGGACTGTTATGTTCATGTTCTAGTGTTTAAGTTTATGTGTGTTTTTCTAGGTTCTGTTGTGTTGTGCTCAAATGTTACAATTTTATGTGTAAGAGTGTGGGCATCATGACCCAACTTACTATGGCTGTGGGTGAAATTCTGTGTTCAACGACTCAACAAAGTGTCCTGGGGTCAAAATTACCCGCGATCG